TAAGGGGAGTTGGGGACAAAAACAATAAGAACAGTTTGCATAGGTTGTAAACATTTAAATTTTCTGCCTAGAAATAATGATACATTTTAAGAAAGTTTCTGAATTTCCTACAGAAGGGATAATTATTTCTGGGAGAGGATTTGGGAAGGGTGGGAAAGGTCGCTTGAAAGAGGGGCTTTCAAGAGTAGGGAACTAGTGGAGCAAACACCCAGACGGAGGAAAGAATATTTGAGAGGCTGGGTACCATGGCTCATGCCTGAAATCCCAACACTTTGGGAGGCCGGCATGGGAAGATCACTTGAGGCCAAGAGTTGGAGATCAGCCTAGGCTACATAGCTGGACCCTGCCTCTATAGAAAAAAAATAGCTGGGTGTGGTAGTGCCTGCTTATAGTCCCAGCTACTCCAGAGACTGAAGAGGGAGGAGATCACTCAGGAATTCAAGGCTGCCGTGAGTTCTGATCATACCACTGCACTCCAATCTAGTAGACAGACCAGAACAAGACCTTGTCTCTAAAAAGAAAAGTATATGAAGGGCAGATGGAGGAAAAGGAGGGTGGTAGGCCAGGTCCCAGGGTCTTTCTCCTCTTTTGTCTTTCTTGTAGACAGACCCTGGACCAGCCTGGATCCTCCAAGCCCTAACCTGCCCGTTACTGCCTCCTACAGGTCCACCCAGATCAAGACCTACTCATGGGACAATGCCCAGGTGCTGCTAGTGGGGAACAAGTGTGACATGGAAGATGAGAGAGTGGTATCATCAGAACGTGGCCGGCAGCTGGCTGACCATCTTGGTGAGTGCCCAGCAGGACTGGAGGCTAAAACAAGGGCATTGAGATTCCCCCAAAGGAAGAGAACACACCCAAGGTCTCAAAGCAAAACCATGCCAGAGCCTGGATTAACATCCAGGCATCTTGTACTTTCTGGGACCTGGCCTTGATCCAAGAGCCATTTCCAATGAATCTTAAGGGGTATGTAGACGTTCACTGTGAGGAGTTAATGATTCATTCTAACATTCTCTGTCCAGTCCCACATTGGGTGTTGTAGGGGCCTCTGAAAAACATCTAGCTTTGTGAGGTGAAGGTTATAGACCTGGGCTTGAGAAGTCCATGGGAGAAGCCAGGCTTCCTGGTGGGGAGGGGAAATAGATCTGGTGCTTAAAGGGTCTTTCAGGCAGAAGAAATAGCTTGGGCAATGGCTAGTGGTAAGAAGTTACTGTGTTTTGGCAATAGTTTTACATGGCTAAAACATGAGGGTCAACTGGAAGAAATGTCACCCACATGTGGGACTTTTGGGACTCTTCTGAGAGCAAGAGGGAACATGGAGGCTATGTGAGCATGGGGAGGGCACAGTTGGATCTGAATGACAGAGGCTTCCAGGGCCAGTGCATGGGACTGGGCTGGATGGTGGGGAAGGGAGCAAGGGTGAGGGGGATAGGGTCTTGCCAGGGCAGTGAAAAACGGACAGTTTTAGGGTAAAGAAAGAAGGGCTGGAAATGTAGGGTTAACCCAGTTCAAAGTTGCTTCCTTGCAGAACCTTTAGGGGGCTTTCTGTCGGTGTCTTTAGTGGGCCAGTTGGCACCGGGTATTTCCAGGCTTTTCCTTCCATCAGAGAGATCTCTAGGAGTTGGGAGGCAGGGGAGGGGGTGACCGTGGTCTTAACCTTCCCTTCCCTGACTACAGGGTTTGAGTTCTTTGAGGCAAGTGCCAAGGATAATATTAATGTCAAGCAGACCTTTGAGCGTCTGGTGGATGTCATCTGTGAGAAGATGTCTGAGTCCTTGGACACGGCTGACCCTGCAGTTACAGGCGCCAAGCAGGGCCCACAGCTTACTGACCAGCAGGCGCCCCCACACCAGGACTGTGCTTGCTGAGAGCTGCCCTGCCCCAACCTACCCTTCTTCCACCCCCAGCCACCCAGACCCAACCCAGCCCCCACAAGCCATGGGCACAAGACCCCTACCCCTGACTTAGACTGTCACCTTTATTTATTATTGTAGCTATTTATTTATTTATTGAAGATGTCCCCCAGGGGCCCAGGCTCCCGTCTACCCCTTGCCCTGTCTACCCTGTACATACAGCCCTACCCCACTCTGCCATGGTGTGTTGTGGCCCCCTGAACTCACTGTTCACCTTCCTGAGACACTACTTTTTTTTTAAAATTCACCCCCATCCACTTGTCAGTTGTGAAGAAGGGCCAGATGACACCACAGAGCAGGCTGATAGGGTGATGGGAGGTGGCCAGGTCTGCCAGCCCCTTGGGTCTGCTACAGTGGGTGAGGCCACTGGCAGGGTATCTCTGTGTGTACCAAGGGGGTCAAAGTCCAGCCTGCTTGGTTCCTCTCCCCCAAAGTTTTCTTTTTCAGTGGTGGTGGTAAGGGTGCTGTGGGTATTCACCACCCTATGCCCCCCTCCCCCAGACCTGTTCTGACCTCATGAGTGTCAAACATGCCCTCCAGTCCCCTAGGAGATGTCATGACAACACTACACACACCCAATAAAGTGAATGGACCATGCTGTGTCCGTATTGAGTTCTGAGCCTTGACCCTACTGGCTTTGGTCATCCCTGGGATTGCCAATTACAGAGAATTTAATGGAATTTCCATAGTTCACAATCATAGGAGGGATATAGGCTGCTTGGTCTAGTCTGAAGCTTGTGGAGGCCAACTTCAGGCCTGATCCTACACTGAGGGGATGGACCATATCCTTGTCTTGGTCTCGAAGCCACATTAGTATCCAGGAGTTGGTGCCTAGCCCTGGCTGGCTGGGTGGGGCCCCGTGCTGAAGATGGGACATCTTAGTCACAAGTCACATGAGGGTCCTGCTGAGAAAGGCTAGGGGATGATCATCTATCTTTGTGGTTGTGTTCTAGATGGGGCCAGCAATGTGTTTGGAAGTGACAGCTCTACCAGATGCTCAGGAGTTGGACTGGGGCTGTGCCATGGCACAGTGCCCTGGCCTGGGCAGAAACTGTTTCACCACCAGTCAAAGGGTAGTCCTCTGGGAGTTAGTCTTGCACTATTTGGCATCCTGTGCTGGGAAACAGGCAGCTCAGTCCATTCGGGTGTCCAGAGCCATGCAGGCTGAGGGTGTCAGGGAGCTTGGACTCTGTTTACACAAGAGGATCTAGTCATATTTCAGGTTCTTCCTAATCAAGCTCTCTTGTACCTGTCCTTGGGTAAAGACAGACATGGCAGGGATCTGGCTGAAGTCACATCAGACAGCAAAGATGGGCTGAGTTTTAACCACCGGAAATGAGCTCCCCACGGCCCACCCTAGGATATGGGTTGTCAGGGGCCCAGGAGACCCTTTACCCTCCAGGTTGGTTATACTGCCATTGGGAGCTCCCACATGTGGCCCCCTGAGTACCCTGGGGGCCTGGTCCACTCATGTGCTCACCCGGTACTTTAGGTAGGACAGGTATGTGTCCCAGCCCAGTGTCAGGCCATTGATGTAAGTGACTCGGAACTGGGGGGGCACGAAGAGGAAGTTCACCAGCTGTGCAGCTGGCCACACGCACCAGTCGGCCTGCAGGGAGGGGTCAGAGTGTGGGTGAGGGGGTGGTCACACCCCGGAGGGGCAGGACAGGTGGGGTGTACAGGGCTTGGGGTGGGCGGGGTTTGGGTGGCTGCTCCCACCTTGTAGAATTCCCAGAACTTGTCCCGCAACTCCTGGCAGCTATCACTCAGCATCTGGCCTTCCAGGCAGCCAAGGCCTGGGAAGGAATAAAGATAAATGGGTCAGGGGCCGGGAGTACTGTGGACATGGCAAGAGCGGGAAGCATAGAACCTCCAAAGTCTAGGCAGAAGGTCCAAGATATTCAAATGGGATGGGCAGAACAGCAGGGTGGCTGGGGTAGGGGGAAAACACAGAACAAGTTAGTCCCAGTGAGGGAGAGAGATTATAAATATGTATAAATAAGTGCCTGGAAGGAAGGAGACACAAACTGACACAC